TTTGACATAGGGTGCTGGCAGATTACGGGCCTCCCATAGCTGCTGCCAGGCCCCTAATCTGCCATGGGCCCCTATACCGCCTCCTCATGCTGCTGCCAGGTCCAGAGTCTCTCATGGGTCCCTGTACGGCGTCCCATTGCTGCTGTCTCCCATCGCCCACACTCTGCCATGTGCCACTTTCAGGTCTCCTCACACACTGCTGGTGTGTTCAATTTTTTGACATAGGGTGCTGGCAGATTACGGGCCTCCCATAGCTGCTGCCAGGCCCCTAATCTGCCATGGGCCCCTGTACCGCCTCCTCATGCTGCTGCCAGGTCCAGAGTCTCTCATGGGTCCCTGTACGGCCTCCCATTGCTGCTGTCTCCATGCCACACTCATGCCATGTGCCACTTTCAGGTCTCCTCCTCACACTGCTGGTGTGTTCAATTTTTTGTCATAGGGTGCTGGCAGATTACGGGCCTCCCATAGCTGCTGCCAGGCCCCTAATCTGCCATGGGCCCCTATACCGCCTCCTCATGCTGCTGCCAAGTCCAGAGTCTCTCATGGGTCCCTGTACGGCCTCCCATTGCTGCTGTCTCCATCGCCACACTCTGCCATGTGCCACTTTCAGGTCTCCTCACACACTGCTGGTGTGTGTTCAATTTTTTGTCATAGGGTGCTGGCAGATTACGGGCCTCCCATAGCTGCTGCCAGGCCCCCCTAATCTGCCATGGGCCCCTAATACCGCCTCCTCATGGGCCAGGTCCAGAGTCCTCATGGGTCCCTGTACGGCCTCCTCATTGCTGCTGCCAGGTCCACAGTGTCTCACACTCTGCCATGTGCCACTTTCAGGTCTCCTCACACTGCTGCTGGTGTGTTCCAATTTTTTGTCATAGGGTGCTGGCAGATTACGGGCCTCCCATAGCTGCTGCCAGGCCCCTAATCTGCCATGGGCCCCTATACCGCCTCCTCATGCTGCTGCCAGGTCCAGAGTCTCTCATGGGTCCCTGTACGGCCTCCCATTGCTGCTGTCTCCATCGCCACACTCTGCCATGTGCCACTTTCAGGTCTCTCCTCACACTGCTGGTGTGTTCCATTTTTTGTCATAGGGTGCTGGCAGATTACGGGCCTCCCATAGCTGCTGCCAGGCCCCTAATCTGCCATGGGCCCCTACCGCCTACCGCCTCCTCATGCTGCTGTCCCAGGTCCCAGTGTCTCATGCCATGTGCCACTTTCAGGTCTCCTCACACTGCTGGTGTGTGTGTAATTTTTTGTCATAGGGTGCTGGCAGATTACGGGCCTCCCATAGCTGCTGCCAGGCCCCTAATCTGCCATGGGCCCCTATACCGCCTCCTCATGCTGCTGCCAGGTCCAGAGTCTCTCATGGGTCCCTGTACGGCCTCCCATTGCTGCTGTCTCCATCGCCACACTCTGCCATGTGCCACTTTCAGGTCTCTCTCACACTGCTGGTGTGTGTTCCAATTTTTTGTCATAGGGTGCTGGCAGATTACGGGCCTCCCATAGCTGCTGCCAGGCCCCTAATCTGCCATGGGCCCCTGTATACCGCCTCCTCATGCTGCTGCCAGGTCCAGAGAGTCTCATGGGTCCCTGTACGGCCTCCCATTGCTGCTGTCTCCATCGCCACACTCTGCCATGTGCCACTTTCAGGTCTCCTCACACACTGCTGTGTGTGTTCCATTTTTTGTCATAGGGTGCTGGCAGATTACGGGCCTCCCATAGCTGCTGCCAGGCCCCTAATCTGCCATGGGGGCCCCTGTACCGCCTCCTCATGCTGCTGCCAGGTCCACAGTGTCTCATGCCATGTGCCACTTTCAGGTCTCCTCACATGCTGCTGTGTGCCACTTTCATTTTTTGTCATAGGGTGCTGGCAGATCATAGGGGGCAGATTACGGGCCTCCCATAGCTGCTGCCAGGCCCCTAATCTGCCATGGGCCCCTGTATACCGCCTCATGCTGCTGCAGGTCCAGAGTCTCTCATGGGTCCCTGTACGGCCTCCCATTGCTGCTGTCTCCATCGCCACACTCTGCCATGTGCCACTTTCAGGTCTCCTCTCACACTGCTGGTGTGTTCCATTTTTTGTCATAGGGTGCTGGCAGATTACGGGCCTCCCATAGCTGCTGCCAGGCCCCTAATCTGCCATGGGCCCCTATACCGCCTCCTCATGCTGCTGCCAGGTCCAGAGTCTCTCATGGGTCCCTGTACGGCCTCCCATTGCTGCTGTCTCCATCGCCACACTCTGCCATGTGCCACTTCAGGGTCTCTCTCACACTGCTGTGTGTGTTCCATTTTTTGTCATAGGGTGCTGGCAGATTACGGGCCTCCCATAGCTGCTGCCAGGCCCCTAATCTGCCATGGGCCCCTATACCGCCTCCTCATGCTGCTGCCAGGTCCAGAGTCTCTCATGGGTCCCTGTACGGCCTCCCATTGCTGCTGTCTCCATCGCCACACTCTGCCATGTGCCACTTTCAGGTCTCCTCACACTGCTGGTGTGTTCCATTTTTTGTCATAGGGTGCTGGCAGATTACGGGCCTCCCATAGCTGCTGCCAGGCCCCTAATCTGCCATGGGCCCCTGTACCGCCTCCTCATGCTGCTGCCAGGTCCAGAGTCTCTGGGTCCCTGTAGGTCTCCCATTTGCTGTCTCCATCGCCACATCTGCCATGTGCCACTTTCAGGTCTCTCCTCACACTGCTGTGTGTGTTCCATTTTTTGTCATAGGGTGCTGGCAGATTACGGGCCTCCCATAGCTGCTGCCAGGCCCCTAATCTGCCATGGGCCCCTGTCCGCCTCCGCCTCCTCATGCTGCTGCCAGGTCCAGAGTCTCTCATGGGTCCCTGTACGGCCTCCCATTGCTGCTGTCTCCATCGCCACACTCTGCCATGTGCCACTTTCAGGTCTCTCACACACTGCTGGTGTGTTCCATTTTTTGTCATAGGGTGCTGGCAGATTACGGGGCCTCCCATAGCTGCTGCCAGGCCCCTAATCTGCCATGGGCCCCTGTACCGCCTCCTCATGCTGCTGCCAGGTCCAGAGTCTCTCATGGGTCCCTGTACGGCCTCCCATTTGCTGCTGTCTCCATCGCCACACTCTGCCATGTGCCACTTTCAGGTCTCTCACACACTGCTGTGTGTGTTCCATTTTTTGTCATAGGGTGCTGGCAGATTACGGGCCTCCCATAGCTGCTGCCAGGCCCCTAATCTGCCATGGGCCCCTATACCGCCTCCTCCTCATGCTGCTGCCAGGTCCAGAGTCTCTCATGGGTCCCTGTACGGCCTCCCATTGCTGCTGTCTCCATCGCCACACTCTGCCATGTGCCACTTTCAGGTCTCCTCACACTGCTGGTGTGTTCCATTTTTTGTCATAGGGTGCTGGCAGATTACGGGCCTCCCATAGCTGCTGCCAGGCCCCTAATCTGCCATGGGCCCTATACCGCCTCCTCATGCTGCTGCCAGGTCCAGAGTCTCTCATGGGTCCCTGTACGGCCTCCCATTGCTGCTGTCTCCATCGCCACACTCTGCCATGTGCCACTTTCAGGTCTCCTCACACTGCTGGTGTGTGTTACATTTTTTGTCATAGGGTGCTGGCAGATTACGGGCCTCCCATTGCTGCTGCCAGGCCAGGCCCGTAATCTGCCATGGGCCCCCGTACCGACTCCTCATGCTGTGACGTTGCAACAAGGTGGAATTCAACCCTACATATGTTAGACCGCCTTTTACGAACAGCGAAAGGCCATCACAGATTTCCTGATGTTAACAAGCGGATAAAGGTACTCTCCCCTGTGTAACTTAGATGTCAGCCAGCCATTGGCAGCTCATGCGTGACACCTGCGCTTGCTCAGGCCCTTTGAGGAGGCCACGCTATTCTGCTGTGAGTCGGCAGGACTATGGGATGAACGACGTCATTCCTCTGTTGCACGTCCTGGAACAAATGCTGTTAACAATGGCTGGTCAGGGTGCGGTAGACGTGGCGCACAGATCTCAACGCCACATGACCCCTGTGGGGGCAGGACAGGAAGAAGAGGAGGAGGTAGAGGAGGACATTTGTGCTCAGGAATTATTGAGTGAAATGGGTGGTTTTTCCACTCAGCGGACAGGAGTGGAGGAGCAGGAGCATCTGGTAGAGGAGGAGGAGGAGGAGGAGACAGAGGACCCAGACGCACCGTGGCAGTATGCTGTGGAGATGGAGGCAGGGAGTCCCTCGCATTCCTTGGCACAAATGGCCCATAGCATGCTCGCTTGCTTGCGTAGCGACAGCCGAATAATAACCATCAGACAGAGGGATGACTTTTGGCTGTCCACCTTGTTGGACCCTCGCTACCGTTTCAAAAATGGTGGCCATTTTTTTCACACCTGCTGAGAGGGAGGCCCAAAATAACGTACTATAAAAACCACCTATGTAGTCAGCTGGTCTCTGCCTTTCTGCGCCAACGTCCATCCTCAGACACTGTGGGCCCTGTGCGCTCGCGTTCCGCTGCCATGGCAGCAGGGGAGGGGTGGGGTGGTAGGAGGCAGTGGCAGCTGGGCCTCCCAGCAGCAGCGGCTGCCTCAGTCTGCAGTCGATGATGAGTAGCTTTCTTCACCAGCGCAGTGAGGAAACTACTAACAGCGCAGCCAGCCGCAGCAGCAGCAGCATCAGGTGGACCTGGAGCAGGACCTCAAACAACAGGCTTAGGCCTACTTGGACAGCACCACCCTGCCAACCGAGGTAGACAATCCCCTTGACTACTGGGCAATGAAACTTGACCTTTGGCCCCCACTAGCTGAATTTGCCCTTGAAAGGCTGTCATGCCCGGCCAGTAGCGTGGCATCGGAGCGCCGTGTGTTTAGTGCGGCAGGAGGTATTGTAACTCCGCGGAGGACACGACTGGAGGACACGGACTCCTCCACCCAAAGTGTGGAGAGACTCACGTTTGTGAAAATGAATCAGGCGTCCTTAGTCTGGATTTCTCAAACCCCAGTTCCTGACACAACTGACTAAATCCGCCATGAATCATGCCCCAAACATGTGCCACTTTCAGGTCTCCTCACACTGCTGGTGTGTTCCATTTTTTGTCATAGGGTGCTGGCAGATTACGGGCCTCCCATTGCTGCTGCCAGGCCCGTAATCTGCCATGGGCCCCTGTACCGCCTCCTCATGCTGCTGCCAGGTCCAGAGTGTGTCATGGGTCCCTGTACGGCCTCCCATTGCTGCTGTCTCCATCGCCACACTCTGCCATGTGCCCACTTTCAGGTCTCCTCACACACTGCTGGTGTGTTCCATTTTTTGACATAGGGTGCTGGCAGATTACGGGCCTCCCATAGCTGCTGCCAGGCCCCTAATCTGCCATGGGCCCCTGTACCGCCTCCTCATGCTGCTGCCAGGTCCACAGTGTCTCATTGCTGTCCATGCCATGTGCCACTTTCAGGTCTCCTCACACTGCTGGTGTGTTCATTTTTTTGACATAGGGTGCTGGCAGATTACGGGCCTCCCATAGCTGCTGCCAGGCCCCTAATCTGCCATGGGCCCCCCTATACCGCCTCCTCATGCTGCTGCCAGGTCCAGAGTGTCTCTCATGGGTCCCTGTACGGCCTCCCATTGCTGCTGTCTCCATCGCCACACTCTGCCATGTGCCACTTTCAGGTCTCCTCACACTGCTGGTGTGTTCAATTTTTTGACATAGGGTGCTGGCAGATTACGGGCCTCCCATAGCTGCTGCCAGGCCCCCTAATCTGCCATGGGCCCCTGTACCGCCTCCTCATGCTGCTGCCAGGTCCACAGTGTCTCATGCCATGTGCCACTTTCAGGTCTCCTCACACTGCTGGTGTGTTCCATTTTTTGTTATAGGGGTGCTGGCAGATTACGGGCCTCCATTAGCTGCTGCCAGGGCCCCTAATCTGCCATGGGCCCCTATACCGCCTCCTCATGCTGCTGCCAAGTCCAGAGTCTCTCATGGGTCCCTGTACGGCCTCCCATTGCTGCTGTCTCCATCGCCACACTCTGCCATGTGCCACTTTCAGGTCTCCTCACACTGCTGGTGTGTTACATTTTTTGTCATAGGGTGCTGGCAGATTACGGGCCTCCCATTAGCTGCTGCCAGGCCCTAATCTGCCATGGGCCCCTGTACCGCCTCCTCATGCTGCTGCCAGGTCCAGAGTCTCTCATGGGTCCCTGTACGGCCTCCCATTGCTGCTGTCTCCATCGCCACACTCTGCCCATAGGGTGCTGGCAGATTACGGGCCTCCCATTGCTGCTGCCAGGCCCGTAATCTGCCATGGGCCCCTGTACCGACTCCTCATGCTGCTGCCAGGCCCGTAATCTGTCATGGGCCCATGTTCCGCTTGTTGGCCTCCCACTTGATGCTCCTTCTCCTGCTACTCCTCTTCACGCGTCAGCAGTCTTTCTTGGAATCTGCCATGTGACAACTTTGCGAGCACGCACCCGACGGTGCAGAATGCTGAACGCCTCCTCCATTGTTGCTGCCAGGGCCCAGGGTGCTGGCGTACGGGCCTCCTCTGTCCCGTAATCTGCCGCCCCCTGTACCGTTCCTCATGCTGCTGCCAGGCCCGTAATCTGCCATGGGCCCCTGTTCCGTCCTTGCTGGCATCCATTTCTTGCTCATGGCTCCCTTTACGGCAAACCTTGCACCCATTGCTGCTGATCGCCACACTCTGCCATTGTGACCTGTCATGGTCCTCTTCTGCTGGCATGGCCACAGTCCTTTTTGGAAGGGTTTCCAGGGGGCTTGCCAGACAACTGGTTTGCGAGCAGGCACCCGACGGTCAAAGAGCTGAATGGGCCCCTGTTGTCCTCCTGTCCGTTTCCTTCCAAGAGACCAAGTTGCTGCTCCAAGTTGCTGCTGCCAGGCTCGTAATCTGTCATGCGCCCCTGTACCGCCTCCTCATGCTGCAGCCAGGTCCAGAGTGTGTCATGGCCCCCGTACCGACTCCTCATGCTGCTGCCAGGCCCGTAATCTGTCATGGGCCCCTGTACCGCCTCCTCATGCTGCTGCCAGTGTCCAGAGTGTCATGGTGTCATCATGCAACACGGCCTTTTTCAGAGTTGTGCTGTGCCGTCTGTCATGGGGTCCCCCCTGTACGGCCTCCCATTGCTTCTGTCCTCCATCGCCACACTCTGCCATGTGCCACTTTCAGGTCTCCTCACACTGCTGGTAGTTTACATTTTTGTCATAGGGTGCTGTATGGCCTCCCATTGCTGCTGCCTCCACCGCCACACTGTGGCTCCACACTCTGGTTTTGGCCCCGTGACTGCCCAAATGAGTGAAGTGTGCGGTGATTCTAAGATCGACGGCACTCATCTGCATGTCATACTGACTGTCAGTATTATTTCTCTTCCCCAGCAGACTCCAAGGGCATTTAAATTAAAGGTACAGTGTTCTGCACTAATATAAAGGCTCTCTGAAGCCTAGAAACACCCTTTTATAAGTTAAATTCGCAGCGAATATATTCGACTCGAATCGAAATTTTTCCACGAATTCGCCGAATCAGTCGAATCGAATTTTTGAATACTTCGCTCATCTCTAATCACATGCAAAGTAGTAAGCAAGATGTCACTTGTGACATCATTGCTTACTATGTGTGAAATCTGTGAATGATCACAGAGGGTCACATGGTACAAGGCTATTCACAAAAGCCTTGTACCATGTGACAAGCTGTGACCAATCACAGCTCACTCTGTATTTCTCAATGAGTGCAGGAATGCACACAGAGAGAAAGAGAAATGATTGCTTTTACATCCTATATGGGTGTAAAAGCAATCAGTGTAAAAAAAAAAAAATAAATCTTTATCACCCCTTACAAGTAGTACAGTGTCACCATGGTGACACTGTACTGCTAGGGTGACAGTATGTAAAAAAAAAAAAATAATAATAATATAAAAAATAAAATAAAAATGTAAAAAAAAAATGTTAAAAATTATAATTTTTGCTTATAAACTAATTTGGATTTTTTTTTTTTTACTAAAAAGATAACGGAATAAATTTTGGCTAAGATTTATGATGAAATATTATTTATTTGCAAAATTTTATAAAAAAAAACACTTTTTTAAAAATTTTTTGGATATTTTTATTTACATAGCAAAAAAAATACAAATCCCAGTGGTGAATAAATACCACCAAAATAAAGCTTTATCTATCTAAAAAAAATGGTAAAAAATTCATTTGGGTACAGTGTTGCATGACCGCGCAATTGTCATTCAAAGTGTGATAGCGCTAAAAGCTGAAAATTGCCCTGGTCAGGAAGGGGGTAAAAGTGTCCGGTCTGGAAGTGGTTAATACAAGAGAGGATTTTGCCCATCTCCTCATAAAGAGAAATCAGATTTGTTTGACAACTTCTGTCTCACATGGAAGAAAAACATATTTGAAATATATTTTAAAAATATTATTCCCAAATATATTGACAAATATTTGAAATGCTACAATTTCGGCCATATTCAATATATTTCAAATATATTTTTAAATAAATATAAAATATATTTATATATATGTATATATCATGTTGAGATTCATTTTAATTACAAAATGTATGAAAAATATTTTTAAAAATACATTTCAAATATGATGTATGTCTTTAAAAATACAAATCTACATTTTTGGAATGCATTTACGGATATATGCAAAATCTAAATGTTAAAATTATTTTTTTATATGTTAAAAAAAATCTGAATATATTTAAAAATATATATTTTTAAACATATATATTTTTTAAATATATTCTTCAGATTTTTTTTAACATATAAAAAAGTCATTTCAACATATATTTTTACATGTATTTGTAAATGTATTCCAAAAATGTAGATTTGCATTTTTAAAGACATACAGTATATTTGAAATGTATTTTAAAAAAATATTTTTCATATATTCTGTAATAAAAATGCATTTCAACATGTAGTGTGTGTGTGTATATATATTTATATACGCATATTTATTTATTGAAATATATTTTGAAATATATTGAATATGGACATAATTGCAGCATTTTCAAATATATGTCAATATATTTGGGAAGAATATTTTAAAAATATATTTCAAATATATTTTTCTTCCATATGGGGTCTTTCATGAATCCATGCTGTCTGTTGCTTAAAATATTTTTTCCAGCAAGAACTCATCTATGTGGTCTTTTATTAAACTCTCCAGTATCTTTCCAACTATAGAAGTTAAACTAACAGGTCTGTAATTACTTGGTAATTATTTTGACCCCTTTTTAAATATTGGCACCACATTTGGCCTTACGCCAATCCAGTGGTACTATGCCAGTCATTATAGAGTCCCTACAAATTTGAAATAATGGCTTTAAAATGACAGAGCTCAATTCTTTAAGGACCCGTGGGTATATGCCATCCAGTCGAGGTGCTTTATTCACCTTTATACTGTCTAAATATTTTTGGATCATATCAATTGTGAGCCAATGTGGATCATCTGGAGCTGTGTCAATACCATGCCCATTATGGACCAGAGCTCCCTCATGCTCCTTTGTATACACAGAGCTGAAGAAGGGATTTAATAAATTTACCTTCTCTTTATCCCCAGTCACCCACTGTAGATTATTTTGTAAAGGGCCTACATGCTTGGACCGGACCTTTTTACTATTAACATATTTGAATCATTTTTGGGGTTAGTCCTACAATCTTTTGCAATCTATCATTTGTTTTTAATTTTTTTGGCCTTTATTTCCTTTTTGCATATTCTGTTTTATTCTTTGTAATGTTTAAACGATGATAGTGTTCCTTCATTTTTATATTTAATAAAAGCTCTTTTCTTATTTATAGCTTTTATAACTTTGGCCGTATGCCACATAGGTTTGATTTTTAGCTTTTTAAACGTATTGCCCATGGGAATATATTTTGCAGTGTGTTCACATACAGTTTTTTGAAGAACTCCCAGTTTTGTGTTGTGTTCATTGATGCCAATATTCCTTCCCAGTCTAAATTGTGGAGAGCAGCTCTTCAAAATTGCATATTTTTAATTTTTTTTCTAGTATGTGCTTGCTGTTTACAGCTAACAATAAATGAAATCATGTTATGGTCTCTGCTACCCAGATGTTCTTTTTTATGGACATTCGTAATAAGCTCTGCATGGTTTGAGATTACCAGGTCCAGCAGAGCATCATTCCTAGTAGGGGCCTCTATGAACAGTACCATAAAATTGTCCTGTAGTAGGTTTAAAAATTTTTGACCTTTAACTGTTCCTGCAGTACAATTACTCCAGTTAATTTCCGGGTAGTTAAAATCCCCCATTATTATCACTGTCCCAGCCCTTGCAGCCCTTTCGATCTGTGCAAGGAGCTGAGTCTCCACCTCCTCATTAACACTGGGAGGCCTATAACAAACTCCAATGATTACCTTTGTAGTACGCACCCCCATGTGCAGTTCCACCCATAATGCTTCAGCCTCATCACACTCTCCATCAACTAGGCCCTTTTTCACACTTGCTCTGAGATCACTTCTCACATAGAGACAGACACCACCACAAATAGGAAGAGGATTACAGGCCTTATTAGAAAAAATGAGTACTGTTCTCTATCAACAAAAAGTTTAATGGTCCCTATTAAAAAAAAATTACTGTTCCCTATAAGGAGAAGACATAGGGGTTGATTTACTAAAGGCAAACAGACTGTGCATGTCCGGGCTCTGTCCTCGGCAGAGTTGTTAGGAGACCTGGCACCCCTGCCAGTACCTTACATGGCCGCAGAAGTTCACATCGGCTCATATTTGGCTCCAAATAGCCTTTATAAGGAAGCCCTGACCTACTCTCAAGTGCTGGTTGATCTCTGGCTTCCCAGTACCTTGTTCCTGTTTCCTGTGCTATTGTAATTTCCTGATACCGACTCGGCTTGCTCTTGGACCTGTCTTCTCTGCTTAACCCCTGATCTAACCTCGGCTTGGCTAATGGATATTCCCTCTTTGCTCCTCTATGTATGACCTCGGCTATCCCAGCTAACTACGTCTGCTCTGTTTCCCACCTGGTATCTGACCACGGCTTTGAACTGGATATCCTGTGATCCTCTGTTTGCATACCTCGCACAGGCACCAACTGTCTGCAGATCCCAACTCAGTGCATCAGCTGTGCTCCTGGGTGGACCACCAACGAGCACTCCTACGGGCGACCTGTGCCACTTTGGGCCTGACTCCTACTGTCCCACTCTCAGGGGAGTCAGGAACTTAGACGCAAGGGAAGCCCTCTCTCCATTGGCCTCTCACACCAGGTATGTGACAGTGCCCTTTACAAAGTGTAGTTGCGCTCTGCAGCTGCTCCAGAGCTTAGAAAATTAGATAAAGCTTCACTTTGCAAAGAATACCCAATAACACGCAAGAAAAATTTAAGAAAACAACATTTTTGTTTGCACATGATTGGAAGATGGAAGTCAGCAGAGCCTCTGCTTATTTACTATGCTCTGGAGCAACTGCTCTTGCAAAGTGCACAGTGTATTTGCATTTAGTAAACCAACCCCATAGTGTCCTCTATCAGCAGGCTGAATAATGTTTCTAATCAGCAAGAGTATTAAAAGTTCCCCATCAGCAAGAGAATTAATGTTCTCTTTCAGAAGGGCTCATATTGTTCCCAACAAGCAAGATGATTACTGTTCCCTATTACCAAGATGATTAATGTTCCCTATCAGCAAAAGGATACTTATTCCCTAGCAGCAAGAGGATAAATGTTCTCTACCAGCAGGACAAATACTGTTCCCTATCAGAAAGAGGATAAATGTTCTCTTCCAGCAGGACAAATACTGTTCCCTATCAGAAAGAGGATAAATGTTCTCTTCCAGCAGGACAAATACTGTTCCCTATCAGAAAGAGAATTACTGTTCCCTATCACCATGATGAATAATGTTCCCTATCGGCATGAGGATAGTTGTTCCTTATCAGCAAGGGGATGACTGTTCCCTATCAGAAGGAGAAATACTGTTCCCTATTAGCAGAAGAATCACTGTTTTCTATGAGTAATGAGAATACTATTCCCTATCAGCAGGATTAATGAACAGGAAGATGATTCACATCTGCTTTAAACAGTATACAATATTCCATATCAGCAGAAGGAATACTGTAATCAGGAAAATGATTGTTCCCTATCAAAGAGTATTGTTCTACATCTGCGGAAGGAGTACCAATTTCTACAAGGAGGAGGAGTTCTGTTCCCTATAATCAGAAAGAATATTGCTTTCTGTCAGTTTCTTATCGGGGGAGCAGCACTGTTGCCTATCAGGAACACTATTCCATATCAGCAAGGAGAAAATAGAAGTAGGAATGTTGTTCTATAGAAGCAAGAAGAGTATTGTTTCCTATCAGCAAGAGGATTAATGAATGGTTTGGTTTCCTGTAAGCAAGACGAACGATGTTCCCTAGCAGAAAGAGCAATGCTTTATCTCATACTAAGGAAGAATACTGTTACCTTTCAATACAAGGAATGCCGTTCTCTATCAGTATAAAGAGTGCAATTCCATTTCATGAGGAGACATACTATTCCCTACCAAAAAAGGAGTACTGTTCCATATCAACATTACAAGTAGTACTTATCAACAGAAGAAATGCTGCTTCCTTTTATTACATAACTATACTGTTACCTACCTAGCTATCAGTAGACATACTATTACCTATAAGAAGAAAATGTACATTTTTCTACTAGCAGAAGACTATTCCCTATAGGTAGAAAGAGTAATGTTCCCCACCAGTGTGGTTTGCAGGTGGGTACTTATCCCTGTCAGCAGAAGGCGTACTCTTCCCTATAAGCAGGAGGACTGCTGGTCTCCAAAACCATGAAAAATATGGCTATCTAATAGTAGGAGGCATACTCTTTCTTTAAAGCAAGAGTACTGTTCCTTACAAGTGCGTGGTTTG